TTCTCTTGCTTCCTTCTTCTATCTGTACTCTTTCTTCTTCTTTTAAATTCTTTCTCTCTTTACTCTATCCTTCTATTCTTTCTTTCTCTCTTATCTTCTCCTTTCTTTCTTGTGTCTTCTTCTTCTTTCTTATATCAAAACTTCTTCTTCTTCTTCCTTATCCTTCTTCGTTCTTCTTCTTCTTTCTTCTTCTTCTTCTCTCTTCTTCTCTTCCTCTTCGTTTCTTTTTCTTCTCTTCTCATTCTTCCTTCTTCTTCTTCTTCCTTCTTTTTCTTCTCTTGTCTTCTCTTTTCTCTTCTTCTTCTTCTTCTTCTGTCTTATTCTTTCTTTCTTATTATCTTCTTTCTTTGTCTTCTTTCTTCCTTCTTCTTTCTTCTTCTTTCTTTTCGTTTTCTTTCTTTCTTTCTCTCTTCTTTCTTTCTCTTCCTCTTCTTCTTCCTTCTTCGTCTTCTTCTTCATCTTCTTTCTTTCTCGTCTTCTCCTATCTTCTTCTTCTCCTTTCCTCTTCTTCTTTCTTCTTCCTTCTTTACTTCTCTCTAATCTTCTTTCTTTCTTCTTCTTCCTTCTTTCTTCTTCTTCTTTCTTTTCTTGCTTTCTTCTCTTTCTTTCTTACTATCTTTCTGTCTTTCTTTCTTCTTCTTCTTCTTTCTTTCTTTCTATCTGTCCCTTTCTTTCTTCTTCTTCTGTCTCTTCTTCCTTTATTCTTTCTTTCTCTATTTTTTCTTCCTTCTTCTCTTCTTTATTTATCTTCTTGTTCTTCTTTCATTCCTTACTTCTTATTCTTTCTCTTCTTCTTCTTCTTCTTCTTTCTTCTTCTTCTTCCTTCTTCTCTTCTTCTTCTTCCCCTTCGTCTGTCTTTTTCTTTCTTTCTTTCTTCTTTCCCTCTCTCTTCTTTTTTTTCTTTTTCTCTTTTCTCCTTCTTTCTTTCATCTTCTGCTTCTTCTCTCTTCATCCTTCTTCATCCTTTCTTCATCTTCCTCCTTTTCCTTTTTCTTTTCTTCTCTTTCTTCTCTTTTACTTCTTCTTTTTCTTTTCTTCTCTTTCTTTCTCTTCTTTCTTCTTCTTGCTTTTCTTCTCTTCTTCTTCTTTGTCTTCTTTTCTTGTTCTCTCTCTCTTGCTTTCTTCGTTCTTCCTTTTCTTACTTGTTAATCTCTATCTTTTCTTCTCTTTCTTTCTATTCTTTCTTTCTTTTTCTTCATTCTTTTCTCTTTTCTTCCTTCTTCTTTCTGCTTTCCTTTTTCTTCTCTTCTTTTTCTTCTTTTCTTTTCTTCTTCTTCTTCTTCTCTTCTTCTTTCTTCTTCTTTGCTTTCTCTTTCTTCTTTCTCTTCTCCTTCTTCGTCTTCTTCCTTTCTTCTTCTTCTTTCTTCTTCTTCGATTTCTTCTTTCTATTTCTTTCTTCCTTTTTCTTCTTCTCTTCTTTCTCTGCTTCTTCTTCTTCTTTCTTTCTTTTCTTTCTCTTCTTCTTTTTCTTCTTTCTTTCTTCTTTTCTTTTCTCTTCTTCTTTCTTCTTTTTCTTTCTTCTGCTTTCTTTCTTCTTCTTCTTTCTTCTTTTCTTTCTTCTTCTTTCTTTTTTTTTTTTTCTTTCTTCTTTCTTCTCTTCTTCTTCTTATCTTCTTTTCTTCGTCTTTCTTCTTTTCTTTTTCTTTTCTTCTTCTTCTTCTTTCTTGCTTCCTTCTTTCTTTCTTTCCTCTTCTTGTCTTCTTCTTTCTTCTTTTTCTCTTTCTTGTTTTCTTCGTCTCTTCTTCTTCTTCTCTTCTTTCTTCTCTTCTTCTTTTCTTTCTTCTTCTTCTTATCTCTTTCTCTTTTCTTCTTTCTTTTCTTTTTCTTTCCTTTTCTTCCTTCTTTTTCTTTTCTTCTTCTTCTTTCTTTTCTTCTTTCTCTCTTATCTCTTCTTCTTCTTTTTCTCTCTCCCCAGTCCTTGACTGCCTGTCTCTGCCTTCCCCTGGATGGGTGTGTGTCCCTTTCTCTCTATCTTTCATCTCTCCATCCAGCTATATCCCTCTCTTTCCCTCTGTGTTTACCTCTCTCTCTCTCTCTCTCTCTCTCTCTCTCTCTCTCTCTCTCTCTCTCTCTCTCTCTCTCTCTCTCTCTCTTTCCATGGCGTATGTCACTATCTGCATTTCCTATGTCCATCCATCTCTTGTTTTCTCTGTATGTTTGTGGGTGTATCTGTCTGTCTGTCTGTCAATCGACCGGTCTCTTTCTGTCTGTATCTCTCTTAAACTCTGTGGTTGTGTGTCTCTGTATGTCTTTTATCTCTCCATCCATTTACCTCTCTCCCGCTTCCACTTCCTCTATGTGTGTGTCTTTCTCCCTCTCTCTTTTTCTCTCTCTCTTTCTCTCTTTCTCTCTCTCTCTTTCTCTCTCTCTCTCTACCTCTCTCTCTCTCTCTCTCTTTCTCTACCTCTCTCTCTTTTTCTACCTCTCTCTCCCTCTCTTTTTCTCTATCTTTCTCTACCTCTTTATCTCTCTCCCCCTCTCTCTTTCTCTATCTTTCTCTACCTCTTTATCTCTCTCCCCCTCTCTCTTTCTCTCTCTCTCTTCCTCTTTCTCTCTTTTTCTCGCTCTCTCTCTCCCTCTCTCTCTCTCTCTCTCTCTCTCTCTCTTTTTCTCTCTGTTATAACAATCACCCACATTTATCATGCCGATAAACTTGGCCGGTAATTGTTAGAAATCCTACATTCTGTGAATGTATGTGAATGGAATGTTTCCCAGCCTGTCTGCATATTGTTCATGCTTAACGTACATTCAAACTGACAGATTCTATGAAGCACTTTCTCGTGATAACAGACAAATCTTTGTATTCACCATGTATCAAACAGTTTGTTGCCTATCCTCCACCAGAAGTTACAGAAGCAGACTACAAGATTATTTCACTCGTTAGTTTTACCAGACAGGTTTACGTTTATTAGTTTGCCACTGTAACTGAACGTCGGCACTCGGCATCATTGTCGAAATCATTGTAAAAAGCTGCCTGCTGCCAAATCGTATGCAGCTGGACCGTAACTAATGGATTACAAAGCAGGCTTGCAAGGTCGACTCACCGTGTATAGCTCTGTGTAACAGTAGCACCCTAGCGATCAGGCAGGCTACTTACAGATGTCCGTATCGGCCTAACGTATACAATACACGTCCATCTTTAGACTAAAAATATGTATAGCTACAGAAGTGCGTGTACAATATATAAACATATACCAGATTATGGTAGGAAACAACTATTAAGCGCACCACATCGCAACAGAGAGGTGTGAGCAGTCTACAAGGGTGGCTGGCATTCATTGTTATCTTTTATTTTTATTTTTTATGTGCAGAATATTTGAGAAGCTGTGTAAAAAGAGTATTTCATCTTACATACGAAGACAAAGCACACATCAAATACAGGACCTCTAGACAGAGAAACCGATCGCTCAGACAGACTTTTCTACAGACAGCCACTCATGTCTGCCTATCGTTCGATGCCGCTGATTGAAAAATTCTGCCTTGGGAGTTTCCACGTAGATCGCGACTGCCTGTGTCTGTCTGCTCGTTATTCCAGTTTATTTGAGATGGACATGAGCAACTAAGGAGGATAATTAAAAGCAAACAGATGATCGGATCAATAACTGATGCACTGTATCTGCGGCTTTTGTCCCGCAGAAATGTCGGGGTCCCGGGGAAGACATTTCCAGGATGGCCAAATTACTGCCCCTGTCGCCTCAATTGAATAATCTTCGCTAGCTGAAGATACGGGAAACAGGGAGGTCATTCGCTCTCTTGTTCTTGACAACGGTACGGTTGTATTATCAACTGTCTACAAACCATACTATTTTACGCACAATCATTAATTAAGCCAAGGAATTCTTTCAAAATTATTATTACTATATATGTTCATTCCTTACGTCCTTCTTAGGACGTTATTTTTTGTTATTTGCAGCTCCACTCTGGCTTTTTCCAGGGGCCGCAATATAGGCAGGCCATCATTATGGCCAAATGTCTGAACGCGGTTTCTGGGACCTCTCCACGGTGATCCTCATCCGCATGGTGGCACTTTGTGTCATCGGGTGTTTATCGCTTGTGTGATGTCCTGGTGGGGTAAAAAGCCAATCCAATCCAATTCTTTCAATGCCTTTCACTTTTAACATTTTTCTGGAAGTAAAAATATAGAATACAGTTGGCGTATGAAAGATGTGAGCTTGAACGGGCCGAAAGTAACACGATACTGCATGCCCGGTTTGTAGCTTTTGGGAATCAAGTTTGTTTATTCGTTCTCCCTGCCACCCCTCCCCCCCCCCCCTTTTCCTCCATAAATACTCACATATGCGTGATACACGATGACATATGACTGGTTTCTCCCTGCCCCCCCCCCTCCTTTCCCCCCATAAATACTCACATATGCGTGATACACGTTGACATATAACTGGTTTCTCCCTGCCCCCCCCTCCTTTCCCTCCATAAATACTCACATATGCGTGATACACGTTGACATATAACTGGTTTCTCCCTGCCCCCCCCCCTCCTTTCCCCCCATAAATACTCACATTTGCGTGATACACGTTGACATATAACTGGTTTCTCCCTGCCCCCCCCCCCATAAATACTCACATATGCGTGATACACGATGACATATGACTGGTTTCTCCCTGACCCCCCCCCCCCTCCTTTCCCCCCATAAATACTCACATATGCGTGATACACGATGACATATGACTGGTTTCTCCCTGACCCCCCCCCTCCTTTCCCCCCATAAATACTCACATATGCGTGATACACGATGACATATGACTGGTTTCTCCCTGACCCCCCCCCCCCTCCTTTCCCCCATAAATACTCACATATGCGTGATACACGATGACATATGACTGGTTTTCTCCCTGCCCCCCCCCCCCCCCATAAATACTCACATATGCGTGATACACGATGACATATGACTGGTTTCTCCCTGACCCCCCCCCCTTCTTTCCCCCCATAAATACTCACATATGCGTGATACACGATGACATATGACTGGTTTCTATCCGCAGGTTACTGGCTGTGCTACATCAACAGCACCATCAACCCGCTCTGTTACGCACTCTGCAACGTCAACTTCCGGCGCACATTTTGGAGAATTCTCACCTGCCGCTGCGTACAACGGCGCGGCTCCCTCCACCGCATGGTCTTGCCTGCCCCGCACATCAACAACCTTATACCCAGGTGAAGCGTCGCTGTGTAACTTTCTGGACAAGTCTCAACCACCTGCTTCCTTTATTCCCACAAAAGGATTGTATGTGCACGCACACAGGCTGACGACAACGGCTGGTTCATGCCGATGAGTTCCCTTCTCAACATTACAATGTGATATCTTGGTCTCTTTGCTGTGTGACCTAAAGCAACAATGTTCGTGTGGAATTCTAGTGATTTCCCAGCCAATGGTCTTCTCCTTGGCTAAAAGTAATAACTGTGAAATTTAGTCATTTCATATATAAATAATTTATCCAATCCTTTGTTATTTCTGGTTTTCACAGAATTATTTTTTTTTATTTTCACAAAAGGATTAAATTTGTGTTTAGAAGCAGACTGTTATGGCATTTATGAGTGTCAGTTTGAGTTGGTTACATCCTCTGACAGCATTATCTTGTGATTTTAGATGTTTTGTGGTTACATGACCGGAAATTCCATTTTTTGTATGAAATTCCAGTTGCTAATCTAACAATCCAATTGTAAAAAATTAGTAAGAGATAACACTTTTTATTTTCAGAATAGATACAATGATATTGAAAAGATGAAGAGTATAGATGAACAATGGCAAATGCTGAAAGAGTAATTACTACAGACATCAAAATAAATATTATCAGGAGTAAAGAAGACTGCGGGGAAAAAATGGATGACAGAGACAATTTTACATCTGATAGAAATTAGATGAAAAAATAAACACAACCAGTCAACCATGATGAATATAAAAGAATACAGAGAGATTGTACATAAATGTAATGCAGCGAAAGGAGTGTGACTCAATAAAAAGTGCAAAAAAATTGTAGAGCAAAGAGAGAACACACAAGACACGTGCAAGAGAATACAAACTGAATCTAGCGAGTGTATATGTATATGTATATTTTTATATGTGTTTCTGTAAACTGTCCATGATTTAGACGGAGCGGATATCCCATACTCTCAAGTTTGAGGGCTACCAGTTTGTCACTGGCCTTGTTTCTGCGAAATCTTGTGCATCGCACAGCTAAGGCTACAAACATTACCACAAATAGAATTTCACACAGAAACTAATTTGTTTTGTATATTTTAGTTAATAACTGTTAGACTCTTCATTTGAATATATTCTTTGGTAGAGCTTAAGTATAACTGTTAGTTTCTCTAGAATAATGAACAATATTTTGGTGACTGAGAAGAAAGTTGACGAAAAAGGACAAGCTAGAGCTAGTCTTGTTTTACACTGTATAGGTTTCTGCGGCCTGTGGTAGCATTCCGATGGTTGGATGAATTCTGACTGCATTCCTCACTGGTGGGTCCCGTACCAGACCTGGCTAAGGAAGATAACATCTTTATTTCTGTCCTGTTGGCTGTACCCTGACCAAGTCTTCCAACTACAGTCAGGTGCTGACCACACTTGAGGTCAAATTCTCGTATGGGCACATATTTTAAAATGTGTAGTCTGTTTTCTAATCTTCAGTTCTCGCCTCTAATTATGTAAAGTCACTCAACACCTGTGCATGTATCTTCATCGAGTTTAATGTGATCTCCAAATGTCCCCGTCAGTTGATTTGTGGGGATAGGACACCAGGTGGCGCAGAGTTTAATCTACTGTCGGATATCATATAGTCACAAGCATGATATATTTTTTTATCATCGGCGTTCACTGACAGAGGACATGGCAGATACATGTATGGTAAGGACCAGGTTGTTCTGACTGGTGGCTGTTGTTCATGTGTGTGTGGTGCCGTTTGCTACCCAAGAGACTTAACAGCTGAAATAATAGCCGATATTAATATCGATATTGATGTTTTACAAAATTCAGTACACACGTGGGTGTATTTTGGCGTGCTTTTGTATGAGTACACTTTACGTTGAGCATTTGTGTCGAGGGCTAGTTTTGGGGCACCACTGTTCCATGCCCATGTATGGAGTTCCCGTGTTCTGTTTGCTTCTATCTTTCTACTTCTTTCTATGAGTGCCGTTCACAATACTTTCTGTTACTTGATTAATTCACAATAGCTAATGACGATATCCTGTCCACACACAACCCAAAAAAAAAAAAAAATTATCTTATGACGCGTTTTATAAGTTGACGGGAAAGCAAACGCCTTTAAACTATCCGTAACCCAGATGCAACAACGTTCAACTGATTGAAAAGTATTCCTGTGGCAATTTGAACAATTAACTCATTAAATTACAGAGATTTTGATCGTCAAAATTAGAACACAATTATTATGTTCCTTTCAGTAGATTTCCGTTTCTTATTTGGAGTAGTCAAGCGCCATCGGATAATTATTTGTGATTTAGCAGCCGGTTTGAGGAGAAACGAGGCTTACACAGTACGGGTATTTGCCGTCGAAGTGGGAACGAGAGGCCTCGTTTCCACTTCGCTCTACAATGTGGTGAAAGAACTATGATTGCGCGGTAATGAACGGAAACGAACACTAAAAAAACTGGGAGAGGCAGCCGAAAGGGCCTCTAGCTGGCTTTGGACGCAGCGCAACAACGTAGGGGACGGGCCTCGGTGAGCTGGTCCGGGTGTCTAGTGGAAAAGGGTTTCTCACCCCTTTGAAAGTCCATCGTGTCCGAATTGTCTGCCAGTGTTCCTCTGCCAACTGCTAATAAAAGTCCAACATGTGTCCGGTAAACCAAAGTAAGCTTGTCGCTCGGTCGTCCAGGCATGCTGACTGCTTTAATTAGGCTGCCGTGGCGGCTTCTTATCTCACAGTACCTCCTTCGAAACCACCAAGTCGTCTTGTCTCTGGCCGAAAGAACAACACCATCCGGTAATTCCGTGCAGCGGGGAACCAGCCCTGAGCTTCATGAACTCAGGAGGGCCCACCTCCGAATGCGTCTAGGAATCGTGGGCCGAAACGCGTGTCGACGAGGATAATTTCTACTGATGACTGGTAGATCCCCGCTGTACTTGCTCCCTGTGAGTTTATTCCTATTGGTTTCTTCTTTTTCTTGTAAATAGTAGATGGGATATGGCAATGGTTAGATGCGTACTGTGTCCACTTCTTACCTCTTCTTCTTCTTCATTCACCGGCTGTGAATTCCGGCGAAAGGTCCCGGTTAATCGTCGACTTCGACTTCTGGCTTTTACCTGGATCTGAGTTTTGCGTGTACAACACACAACTTCTCACCTCTCGCCTTCACTTGCGTGGATTCTCTTCTTGAGGCATCAACGTTCACTACAACATAAAAGATGTGGCAAGGTGAGATTAAACCTGGGAAAAGAGACATCATCGCAAACGATCTCATTCTCTCTCATCAGAACGCATCGCCTAGTAGCCAGAAAGTGGCCAGCATCTAAAACAGTTCAACGCCATTTCTGGCGGTCCGCTATTTCTACTGTAGATTTTACCCGTCCTTTTCGTGCTTTCTAAAGTCTCTCCCTTTGGTCTGGATAGAACGGGTCAGTGGAAAGTGACCAGGGCATCTGGCTGAGATTTTGCACTCAGAGGAGAGACAAGACGGAAATAACAACAACCTGCTACTGATACTGTCTCAGATGAGGCTGCAGCACCTATGGGAATGTCTCCGGTGATATAATACCGATCCGAACCCAGCTCTGCCTTTCGCCACACGCAACGATCAAACAATATCTGTATCTGGTTCGTAGCTGTGTAGCATTGTCTACTTTCACTAACTTGTTTCACAAGCAATGGTTGTTAGTTACTCTGGCAGTATTGGGTATTGTGCAACAGTCGCTGACAAGCAATGGTTGTTAGTTACTCTGGCAGTATTGGGTATTGTGCAACAGTCGCTGACAAGCAATGGTTGTTAGTTACTCTGGCAGTATTGATGTTGGCTGACCAATCACACAGTAAGTGTTGATTAATCTACAAAATATGAGGTGAGCACTTAATGACAGACACGTCTAGAGACATATAAAAATTACATGAATTTGTTATGTGTTACCCGCCATGATTAGTTAATGTCTTCAGTTGATTTATTTTGTGTGGGAAACCAAGTATTCTTGGAGTCAAGGACGGCAATTTGAGAATCGCCGACCGAAAGGACATCCTCGCTCCATTTTCTTACTCCAAACAAAATAAATAAAAATCTACTTAAACATTTGTACCATTACATCTTTCTTTCTGGGTTCTCAATTGCCCCAATTTCTTCCCTAATTCCGCGCACTCCTTCCACTTTCACCCCACCCCCCGACCCTAAGGCCTATTTCCAAATCTGCTACATCGCACAATTCCATCGAGATAAATTCTGCTATGGTCCGTTGCACTTTGACTCCTGCTCTCTCTAGCAGAGAGACTAGATTAGTGATGACTGTATTGAAACTGTGTTAGCTGTCGTCCCTTTTAGCCAAATGAAATAAATGTTTATTGATGTCAAGATGTGTCTGAATCTTTGTATGTGGCTTTTTCTCTGTATGTGAGTAAATGGATGTAGGAATCCGCAGGAAATCATGTGAGAGTGATAGCGTAGTGTCATGAATGGTTCAATACATTTCACATAGTCACAGAATACACTTTACAAAATACAATATTTCATAGAGATGGTCACATAATACATTTCACACAATACAATATTTCACACAGATATTCACAAAATACAACACTTTACAGAATGCAATATTTCAGAGACAGTCACAGAATACAACATTGCACATGCTGAAATGATCGCAAAATACAACAAATCACATGTTAAGATGATCGCAGAATACAACATTTCACATGTTCAGACAATCACAGAACACATTTCACTATGATCAGACGATCACTGTATACAAAATATGACATGTTCAGACAATCACAGAATAAAACATTTCACTTGTTTAGTGGATAATAGGATACAACATTTCACATGTTCAGACGATCGCAGAATACAACATTTAACATGTTCAGACAATCACTGATTACAAAATTTCACATGTTTAGACAATGATCGGACAATACATTTTACATGTTTGGACAAACGCAGAACACAACACATGCAAAATAGTTACAACCATGGCTGGATAAATGTTTGCACACAATATTTTCAATA